CTGAAACTGATCTTTAAAATATCAGTAATAAAAATCATCCTGGGGTCAAAGAATTCAGGTTTTATCTATGGGCTGGCTATTAAATATTCAGACGCTAATATGTTTGCTCCTAGCTTTGAGCTCGTGAGGATGGATAACCAATAAACTTGCACATTTTAAATACTTTTATTTTGCATGCATTTTAAATGTACTGAATCAGTACTTTCGTCTGTGTAAATCACGACAGTGTTGTGTTTTGATACACATCCGAAGCGCCTTGTTCTCTTTCTGTGTGTGTGTGTGTGTGTGTTTAAATCGATCATGTACTCTAAAACCGGTGGCGTTTACCACAAAGAACGGGCTAACGACATGACTGGATATTATTAATCCATTAGCATTGTTTAAAGGTGTATTTACAAAATGCTTTTTCCTCCCCCTCATGACCTCTTCTGGTTTGAAATCCTTTTATCCCATTTGTTCTGAGGTTGTTGAGTGAAGTCGAGACTCTCCATTTCCCTTTTAATACGATAATCAGTAATTCTCCGGGACAAGGCCTCCTGGAACGGGCACAAAGAAAGGCATTAGATCTATACCATCCCAGCGAAAAGCGAGGAACCGCCGTCTGTCGCTAGCAGACTTGAAACACACACCTCTTTGCGTCTCTCTCTCCTAATAGCCATCTCTGCTATTCAAAATGGGCTTGTTTGGATCTTTAACAAAAAGAGATGCCGCCCGATTACACTCTATCCCGATCTTGCCTAAAAAACAGGAGACGGTCTCTTTTCGGCTCCCGAGATCCTGACTGTCACAATTGGAAAATAAAGGAAGGGGGTGAGGAGTCTGAGGACAAAGGAATAAAAACCGAATTGGTGACACACACAAGCCCATGTCCAGTTCGGCTCGGGCGCCAGGGTGAAATGCGCGCACACATGCTTAGCTTCTTAATCTAAGGATGGTAGCTGGCTTTCCCTTTAGAGATGTCAAGTACAGCCCCCCATCCCCTATATCTGGCCGAGATAATACTTTAGTTTTTGTCAAAATTCCGTGTGTGGTGGTGTAGTAGTAGTCGTAAATAACCCTGTCTCAAACACAAAACCGCTGGCTTGTTTGATGTATAATATGGTACAAGATTTGTCCGTCGTTTGGTGAATTTTATAGTATTTTAGGGGGCTTTTATTGATCCCCTTTGTCTTTCTGGTTAGGAAGAAAAATACCTGTGTATTTAATTCAACATAGTTGTGATCGGCAGGCTACGAAACTGGAAATCCAAGCGAATGCCATGGGTGACTGTGAATCTCTTAATAAGGACACACTTTAAAAAGTCAGCAGTCCTGTGAAGTTACGAATTCTCTCCTCCCCCCTCCCCCTTTCGGTGACTTTATTTATGTCGCTATAGGGTTTTTTAATCAAAAGGTGTTTACCACCCCCCGGCTCCGGTGGCCAGAGCGCAGGAAGGCTTCCAAAGTAAACTAAACTCAGTCTCGACTCAGACATAATGGAAATGTTACTTTCTTTTTTTTTAATTGGCCTAAAGTGCGGGGTGTGTGTGTTATAATTTTGGGGAGCGAGCCAAGCTGCGCGTGGCTGTGTGTACATTGCAGGGAGAGGCGGACACCTGGAACACTAATTGGTTTTCATTCACTTTCTCTGCTGCATTAATTCGGATCTCTTCCTGTTTTCCCCCCGCCCTCCCGCCTTCAACTCCCCCAAGCCATCAGCCATCAGGTTTTAAGAAGGTTGTTTATATTTTTTAAAAAGCAGCCTGTGTGATATCGGCTCTGCTTTCCGGAGATCTCGGTCGGGTTTAAAGAAGCACCTTCTTTCCTCTCCTCTCTCTCCCAGCAGCGGCTCCGGGCCTGCCACCGCCTCGTAGGAGAGGGGGGGCCCCGGCGCCCCCGCCGCCCCCCGAGCGCTGAATGTTAATTGGTTTTCATTGTTCGGTGTGTAGGTTTGGTTCCAAAATCGCCGGGCCAAATGGAGAAAGAAAGAAAACACCAAGAAGGGCCCGGGCCGGCCGGCCCACAACTCGCACCCCACCACGTGCAGCGGGGAGCCGATGGACCCGGAGGAGATCGCCCGCAAGGAGCTGGAGAAGATGGAGAAGAAGAAGCGCAAGCACGAGAAGAAGCTGCTCTGGAGCCAGGGCCGCCA